TGTGTTTTCCGATGGTCTTAGGTGACCCCTGTGAAAGGGTCGTTCAACCCCCAAAGGGGTCGCGACCCACAGGTTGAGAACCGCTGTCTTAGACCATTTCACCTTCTTTCTTGATCTGTTATCAAGAAAGATAGGATTAAGAAATTAGTAGGAGCCGGGCCTGTATGGCTCAGTGGCTGAGGCAGGAGTCTCTCTGTGCTCTCTCTCTTTCTCTGCGTTCTCTCTCTCTCTCTCTCCATATCTGTGGGAGACTCGCTTATGACCAACCCTGACCAGAATGTCCATGAGACCTTTGTATGCCCCTTAGTGAGAAGGTTGGATGGCCCTGCAGACAAGGAATGTGTGTGAGGATGGCCCCTCGCTCCTGCCCAGGGGGTGTAGACCCGGTGTTAGAGATGGAGCCTGGAGGCCTAGATGCCACCAGACAACCCTCACAGGCTGAGTTTATCCGATCACAGGCTTTAATCTCATCTCGGACCACGGGCCGCATAAAAGGCAGGAGCCTTGGGAAGCACATCAGAGCCACCAGCGCAGACAGCCAAGCCCCACAGCAGCTCAGCGTTGGACCAGGATCACCCAGCGTGAATGTCTGTGTCCGTGAGGAGAATGGCATCTCAAGACGAACAACCCAGAAACGGTCCCCGGGCAGGAAACTTCACGCTTAGATCTCGCGGAGGACCCATCAACCAGGATGGAGAGGAGGCGGAGGAGGTCGGCTTCCCCAGCCCTGGGCTCATCTCATTGAACAACGGCAGCCAAGGGCATGGGATGGTGGAGCTGCGGGGCATCTTTTGGTCTTTCTGCTCGTGGCTGCAGCCAGACACGCACAGTGATCAGGAGATGATTGTCCAACTGTCAATGGAGCAGTTCCTGCTCAACAGGCCCAGCAGCGAGAGGGCTGCCTGGCAGGAGAAGTGGGAGTCGAGTGGCAGAGACATGGAGGCGTTCATGAAGCACCTGGGGGATGAGGGCCTGAGGTCCCCCAGCATGATCCATGTCAGCATGGGGGGGGGGGGGCAGGAAGCCCTGTTCTCGGAGAACATGCCCATAGGACAGGTCCTGGCCCACCTCCAGGAGCAGCGCTCAGCAGCCGCCACCACAGGGACCCCCTCCCCAGCTCCCCCAGAGACACCCCGACCAGCAGCACCAGAAGATGCAGATGAAGATGGCGACAACCTTTCCAGTCCTGACCACCAACCCCCCTTTATGCTCATCCCGGAGGAAGAGAGCCCTCAGGGCCCCGCAGAGAGCGAGGTGTCCGGGGAGAGTCCACGCAGCTCCGGTTCAGCAAGTCCGGGCGCCCCCACTGCCCAGGAAGAGCCTCCCCGAGAGGAGGCGCCCCGGGAGGCGGGGGGCGCCCAGAAGCTGTACCGGTGCGACCAGTGTCCCCGGGTCTTCCAGTACCTCTGTCGGTTCCAGCTGCACCAGAGGAGGCACAACAACGAGCGGCCCTTCGTTTGCGCCACGTGCAGCAAAGGCTTCTTCTAGGCCTCGGACCTGCGCGTGCATCAGCTGATCCACGCGGAGGAGCGGCCCTTCCGCTGCGACCGCGCCTTCAGCCACCGGACCAACCTGCGGGCGCATGAGCGCATACACACGGGCGCCAAGCCCTACGCGTGCGCTCAGTGCGGGAGGACCTACCGCCAGTCCTTCACCTACTACCGACACCTGTGGATGCACCAGAGGAAGGTCTCCACGCCCGGGGACACCACGCCCCAGGCCTCCACATCCAGGGACTCCACGCCCAGGGCCTCCACATCCAGGGCCTCCATATCCAGGGCCTCCACATCAAGGGACTCTATGCACAGGGCCTCCACATCCAATGACTCCATGCACAGAGACTCCACATCCAGGGCCTCCACGCCCGGAGCTTCCTCCCTGTAATGTGTGTTTGTAGATATATTTATTTTATTTTATATTTTTATTGATTTCAGGGCGACCCACAGGTTGAGAACCGCTGTCTTAGACCATTTCACCTTCTTTCTTGATCTGTTATCAAGAAAGATAGGATTAAGAAATTAGTAGGAGCCGGGCCTGTATGGCTCAGTGGCTGAGGCAGGAGTCTCTCTGTGCTCTCTCTCTTTCTCTGCGTTCTCTCTCTCTCTCTCTCCATATCTGTGGGAGACTCGCTTATGACCAACCCTGACCAGAATGTCCATGAGACCTTTGTATGCCCCTTAGTGAGAAGGTTGGATGGCCCTGCAGACAAGGAATGTGTGTGAGGATGGCCCCTCGCTCCTGCCCAGGGGGTGTAGACCCGGTGTTAGAGATGGAGCCTGGAGGCCTAGATGCCACCAGACAACCCTCACAGGCTGAGTTTATCCGATCACAGGCTTTAATCTCATCTCGGACCACGGGCCGCATAAAAGGCAGGAGCCTTGGGAAGCACATCAGAGCCACCAGCGCAGACAGCCAAGCCCCACAGCAGCTCAGCGTTGGACCAGGATCACCCAGCGTGAACGTCTGTGTCCGTGAGGAGAATGGCATCTCAAGACGAACCAGCCAGGAACGGTCCCCGGGCAGGAAACTTCACGCTTAGATCTCGCGGAGGACCCATCAACCAGGATGGAGAGGAGGCGGAGGAGGTCGGCTTCCCCAGCCCTGGGCTCATCTCATTGAACAACGGCAGCCAAGGGCATGGGATGGTGGAGCTGCGGGGCATCTTTTGGTCTTTCTGCTCGTGGCTGCAGCCAGACACGCACAGTGATCAGGAGATGATTGTCCAACTGTCAATGGAGCAGTTCCTGCTCAACAGGCCCAGCAGCGAGAGGGCTGCCTGGCAGGAGAAGTGGGAGTCGAGTGGCAGAGACATGGAGGCGTTCATGAAGCACCTGGGGGATGAGGGCCTGAGGTCCCCCAGCATGATCCATGTCAGCATGGGAGGGGGGGGGGCAGGAAGCCCTGTTCTCGGAGAACATGCCCATAGGACAGGTCCTGGCCCACCTCCAGGAGCAGCGCTCAGCAGCCGCCACCACAGGGACCCCCTCCCCAGCTCCCCCAGAGACACCCCGACCAGCAGCACCAGAAGATGCAGATGAAGATGGCGACAACCTTTCCAGTCCTGACCACCAACCCCCCTTTATGCTCATCCCGGAGGAAGAGAGCCCTCAGGGCCCCGCAGAGAGCGAGGTGTCCGGGGAGAGTCCACGCAGCTCCGGTTCAGCAAGTCCGAGCGCCCCCACTGCCCAGGAAGAGCCTCCCCGAGAGGAGGCGCCCCGGGAGGCGGGGGGCGCCCAGAAGCTGTACCGGTGCGACCAGTGTCCCCGGGTCTTCCAGTACCTCTGTCGGTTCCAGCTGCACCAGAGGAGGCACAACAACGAGCGGCCCTTCGCTTGCGCCACGTGCGGCAAAGGCTTCTTCCAGGCCTCGGACCTGCGCGTGCACGAGCTGATCCACGCAAAGGAGAAGCCCTTCCCTGCGGCCGCTGCGACCGCGCCTTCAGCCACCGGACCAACCTGCTGGCGCACGAGCGCATCCACATGGGCGCCAAGCCCTACGCGTGCGCTCAGTGCGGGAGGACCTACCGCCAGTCTTCCACCTACCACCGCCACCTGCGGATGCACCAGAGGAAGGCCTCCCAATCTGGGGCCTCCACGCCCGGGGACACCACGCGCGCGCCAGCTCCTCTCTGAAGTGACTCTCCTGTTTGGAACAGCAAAAAAAACGTTCTCTCTTTTTGGTGTCGGTTAAAAGGAAACATAAGACATTTAAATAAAAATTTCCAAAAAAGAGCTTCCCTCCGGGAAGAATGGGCCCCTGAGACCGGTTCCCGGGCTGGCGGAGAAGACAGCCTGAATCTAGACCCGAATGGCGTCTTCTCCCCACTGACCATGCTGAGACTGTGGCCAGTTCATAACCCCGGGACTCGGTTCTGTCACCTGCAAGTCTGGGGGCCCGGGAGACTAAAGCGGAGTCGCGACCAGAAAGCCCTTTTGATCTTAGCGACGGAGGCTCTGAACATCTCAGGACGACAGCGCCCCCCCGCGTTGAGCCAGCACAGTGACGGCTGCACTCCACCCGCCACACACTCAGCAGCTGCGCAGTAGGACTGGTGTATTGCAATGTGATCCACAGGCATCGGCCAAAAGAACTCAGCAAGAATGCAGGCAGATTTCTCAAAGTGCACCTCCACTTCCCGTGACTTTATGGAAATCATCTGTAGGGTCTGTTGTGTGTGAAAATATGGGGCAATAAAACTCAAAATCAAAAAAAAAAACAAAAAAAACGTCCAGTGACTCCATATCCAGAGACTCCACGCCCAGGGCCTCCATGTTCAGAGGCTCCAATCCAGGCACTCCACGCCCTGGGCTTCCACATCCAGGCACTCCATGCCCGGAGCTTCCTCCCTGTAATGTGTGTGTGTAGATATATTTATTTTATGTTATTTATTTTGTTTTATATTTTTGTTGATTTCAGGGAGGAAGGGAGAGGAAGAGAGAGAAACATCAATGACAAGAGAGAGTCATTGATCACCTGCCTCCTGCATGCCCCTCACTGAGGATGAAGCCCACAACCCCAGGAATGTGCCCGAGAAAGTGGCTGACACGTTTCCAATGACCAATAATTGTTGAATAAATAAAAGTGTATTGTTTATTTCTTAAAATCCAGAAATGCGTCTGAGGTAGTGTGGAAAGGGGCTCCCAGGTGGCTAGTGATATGGGCTGCGGGAGGTGCAGCAAGTAAACAAAGCTTGATCAGGTGCGTGTAATTGAGTAGATTCAAAACCCAGGAGAACATTGTAAACATCTTGGCCACACCCTTACTTTGCCTCATGGAATCTGGCTATAAAATATAGACTCGGTTTGCAGGCTAAAAAAAAAAAAAGACAATACCTCTGGTTTGAGTGATGAATCATGATCTGTATAAACTAATCTTGATGTCTCATGTTTTTTTGAAAGATACTTTCATTCCCAGCCTCCCTTGCAGCTACCAGTAACTATTTGACCCAATTCTGTAAAACACTGTGAAAGAAATAAAATGTTAGAGTAGTGCTGCCTGGTGCTGTTACTGGAGAAATCAGTGAGTACAATTTCCCCGACATTTGTGGAAGTGGAGTTCTAGTGATATCTTTAGAAAATGAATTTTCTAAGACTGCCACAGGAGAATGAATGGATTTTATTTGCATTGAATTACATCCCTTGGTGTGTAAACTCCCATTGTCTGCAACCCAGTCCTGGAAAATGTACAGCTGGGGGCTTAGTAGAGCTAAAAGCAGGAGCAGTGTCCAGAGTCTCTGTTTTCATGGTGAAGTTGAGTCCAATGTAGCATCAGGCTAGATTCAGTCCATCAGTCCATTGTGTGGGTCCCATGCGGCTGTTGGCCACATGGGCAAGTGCAAGGGAGTGTGCCCCCTGCAACAGCAGACCCAGGAGTACAGGCAAGCAGGAGAGGTGAAAACAAGAGAGAGAGAAGTCCCTTTGTCCAAATCGTCCCACATTTGCAGTGGCCACACCTATTTTGGCCTCTGACTTGTTCCCAGATATGACTGACAGCTACGCATCTTCCTACATCACCCAGACTTTACTGGGCATGCATCTATTGTCCAGCCCCTCCCCACAGTGATCTGTAGGGAACAGACTCAGAGAACGTTAACTGTAGCTTTCTGGCAAAGCTATATAAATGGCATGTCTACATTATTTAGTCTTCCCTTTATTTATTTCTTGTTATTTAATAACCAAGTTATAACAGTATCAGTAACATTTTTTCTTCTTTCTCATATATGAAACTTGTGATGCTGTGCCCACTCCAGAGGTGAGGAGAAAAGCATTCCAGAAGAGATGAGACATAAATGTTAAGTAGAAACTATCAGAGTAAAGAGGGTAGGGAATAGGAGTCTAGGCAGAAAGAATATTCTACATAAATGCCCAAAGGCAAGAAACAGCATGGAAGCTTAAAGAAAATATAAGAAACTTAGTATGACTAAATTATAAAGCATAACCCTGGGAATAGTAAAAAATAAATTGGAGAGATAGACAATGATCAGATCATGAAGGGCACTGTAAGCCACACAAAGGAGTTTATATTTTATATTTTTGAAAGAAAAAAATCAATGAGAGCTTCTGAAAGCTTTTAATTAGAGAAGTGATAGGATTAGGTTAAGACCTGAGAGGGACATACATGAGACATTGTTAGGGTCTGCGGAAACATTGAAATTACTATTATAATAATTTTGTTCAATGATAACAGTAGTAATGGATAAAATTGGATGGAATGTACAAATAGTTAGAAAGCAAAATAAATAGAAGCCTGACAGTGAATAAATGTAGGGGAAAAGACAAAAATTAGGATTACCTCCCAGTTGCTTGTTCTGGCAACTGTGTAGATGTAAGTGATGTCAATCACTGCAAGAGGGAAGGCAGGGTGAAGACCGGGTTCAAGGGGAATTTGAAGTTTTGTGAGCCCTCCAAGGAGAGATAGAAGTCTGAGACTCCAGAGTGAGATTGGAATGGACACAAGCATTGAGGCCAGGATAGGTTCAATGAATTTTT